TGAACTCAGATATTTATACATATATAAATATGCTCTGGCAGAACCAGGCTCGGGGAGCGGCAGCCGTCTGTTACGACTGGTTGGGGGTGAGGGGAAGAAGACAGGACAAAAGACACGTTATGGAAGAGACAGAAATGAGTAATAATTCAATGCAGGTTGTGTATAAACACATAAGTAAAAAAAGTGTAAAGAAGAAGTAAGAAAGAAAAAGAAAACATCAATTTCACAGTGAATTAGAGGAAGAGTTTTCACTACTGTGAACGACTCATGTGGCGACGGCAAAGCAGCACAACGTGGAGAGACGTTTGTGAACGTGTCACACAAGCTGCCATGCTAACTGTTAAAGGCAGGTTTGAGCAAACAGTCTTTTTTCACGAGAACAAAACTCCTAAAAAGCAACCGAAGCCTCATTTAGAGCTACACATTTCATGATTAAGAAAAAGAAGGCATTTTCAGACGGGGAGGTTTTCAAAGAAACAATCATGATAATTTCAAAAACTGCTTAAAGACGAGAAATATGGAACTGATGTGATCTCCACTCTCTCCGATGTCCAGCTGGGGGCAACTACAGTAGTTAGAAGAGTTTCGGCTATGTCCGGGAACTTGGTTGATCAGCTGGGCTGGGATCAAAGTGCAGGTGGTTTAGCATCCAGTGTAACCAGTCTGTGGACAGCAGCAGCACAGCGAGCTGATGGTCTCCATCTGGATGGTGTTTGACGATTTGTCCACAAAAGAAGAACGTCTGACACGACTGTCACTAAAGACAACTACGAGGTCTATGAGGAGTTGACCTTTATAACGCGGTCACGGAGGTTTTTTTACCGTTGGAAAAGCTGGTATCAGTGACCACCAGCTCCTGCTATGATCAGCCAACATACAGGATTCATCCCTCACTGAAAAGGTGACACGGAGTTCCTAAACTTTATGCTGGGGTACACCGAGTGGACACTTGACCTTTCATTATAAAGGACATCACTGGGAAACAAAGCTGCGAGGCAAAGGTAAGACTGTTGCTGACACAAGTGCTTTTAATGCATTTAAAGCCCAGAGGAACATTGTTCTCTGTGCATTTACAGAGAAAAAAGGTGCTGCACTTTCTCTCTGTGCTGAAAAGACGATGCTTCTGCAGCTGAGACTTTTGACAAAGCTGCAGAAAAGTACTCTTAAGTCATAAACAGACTTGGAGAACAGGTTTTGGGACCTTGATCAGTGTGTTGTTCATTTCCAATCCTTTCATGAACGTGGAGACAACATGCATCGCTCAGTGCAATGTTCAGCTTGGATGCTGGACAGGTGGAAATTGTAACACTGCAAAATGACCTTCAGCCCATCAGGATGAAGCAAACCTTCGGTGCCTTGTTGACACAGAAAGCACAGTGGTGTATGCACCAGCCTGTTCGGTTCAACCCATCTTTGTGAATCGTTACTACTGAGCGAATGTTTGAAAGGAGCTAAATGAGTTATACACTTACCTCTCTGCTAAGATGCTTCCAGCAGTCCAACCAGGTGTGATATTTTAACGCGTAGGGAGCTCTGCCTCCAGCAAGCCTGATGAGAAAGTTATAATATGAGTCTGCTTGAATTCAGCAAGTTTGACAGCAGAAAGTGACGAGCGAACTTACCCACAGTTATTGACAGCCATTATGTTTGACACCAAAACAAAAGGATAGGTGAGCATACTGGCAAAGAACTGCAAGACAGAGGATGAAGAGCATGAGACTGAGCCACAAACAGACCGCTGACTGATGCTGTTATACTCACGCCTGTCATCGCCTGAGAGCAGTTCTTGATTTCTCCTGTGTGACTCATCTGTTCAGAACAAGAGTCACTGTTAGTCTGTGTTACAGCCTCAATCTAAGAATTTAATTTAATTTATTTTATTTTATTTAAAATTTAATCTAAGACTGCTTCACAAAACCCTCAAGATCTATGTCAGTACGATACAAACAGTAGTTCCCTGAACATACAATGAAAACAATCAAACAATCGATTGCTGTTGTGTTGTTGTTTTGATTTTTTGCATGCACAAACTTGAATTTCAGGTATTGAGATTACAGAAACTGAAGGACATATTATACCGAGTCATC